GATGGAACAGCCCCTGGGGAGCAATTAGAGGTGTTCCTTTGGTTTGGGAGGGGAAATAATTCCCAGGTGGAGTTAAAAAGAGGAGATAAGTGGTAAATCAGACCTGCAGAAGCCCCTCTGCCCCCTCAGGTGAGACCCCCCTGCAGAGCTTCCTCCAGCCCTGGGAACAGCACAGGAAGGACATGGAGCTGCTGGACAGAGTCCAGAGGAGCCATGGGATGCTCCAAGGGCTGGAGCCCCTCTGGAGCCAGGCTGGGAGAGCTGGGGGGGTTCCCCTGGAGAAGAGAAGGCTCCAGGGAGAGCTGAGAGCCCCTGGCAGGGCCTAAAGGGGCTCCAGGAGAGCTGGAGAGGGACTGGGGACAAGGCCTGGAGGGACAGGACACAGGGAATGGCTTCCCACTGCCAGAGGGCAGGGACAGATGGGAGATTGGGAAGGAATTGCTGGCTGGGAGGGTGGGGAGGGGCTGGAATGGAATTCCCAGAGAAGCTGGTGTGGAGATGGATGGAGATCTGAACATATGTAAGGACACAGATCTGCTGGGATGGGTCCAGAGGAGGCTCCAGGATGATCAGAGGATGGAGCAGCTCTGCTGGGAGGAAAGGCTGGGAGAGCTGGGATTGTTCAGCCTGGAGAGGAGAAGCTTTGGGGTGACCTGATTGTGGCCTTCCAGGACCTGAAGGATCTACAGAAAACATGGAGAGAGACTGTGGACAAGGGATGGAGGGACAGGACACAGGGAATGCCTTCCCACTGCCAGAGTTAGATGGAATATTGGGAAGGAATTGCTGGCTGGGAGGGTGGGGAGGGGCTGGAATAGAATTCCTAGAGAAGCTGTGGCTGTCCCTGGATCCCTGGGAGTGTCCAAGGCCAGGTTGGAGCAACCTGGGCTAGTGGAAGGTGTCCCTGCCCATGGCAGGGGGTGGCACTGGATGGGCTTTAAGGTCCTTTCCCACCCAAACCCTCCTGGGAATTCTCTGACCCTACTTCTCCCTTCTCCCTCTCCCCTTTCCTGGCTGGAACAGCCCCTCAGAGCTGGGACAGAAGCCACAGGTCTCCAGCTGGTGTTTGGCCCTGGAGCAGAGGGGGTTTGACCCCCCCTTCCTCACCTGGGTTGGAAGGAGGAGAGGTCAGTGCTGGTTGTTTGAGAGAGGAGGTTTTGTGCCCTCAGGGCTGGGCTGGTCCTGGAGCTGAGCTCAGAAAGAAGTCCAAGGGATCACCAGAAATCTTCCAAACTCTCCATTCCTTGCTGGAACTTGGCAACATTCCCAGGACAATAAGTCAGGCAAAGCATTGCAGCAGAGCTGGTTTTATCCTCAGTTGTGCCATAAAGCTGGAAATCAGAGGCTCAGAGTTATTGGTGCTTTGTGATATGATGCAGATTATAGAGATTCAGGCAGAGAAATAGCAAACTAATGGCTCATTGTTGCTGGGAATATTGGGAATATTCTCTTCAGAAGAGGCATTTGACCCTTTGGATGCTCCACTGAGCTCGATTTGCTGAAAACCTTAATGACCTTCCTGAATTTCTTAATATTTTTTGGATTAAATCAGGTTTTTCAGGGCGGTGAGTTGCTGGATTTCTGCTTGTGGGGTTGTGGGAACGAAGTGAAATGTGTGAGAAACTCCTGTGTGCAAACCCTCATTTTCATGGACCTGCTGCTCTGAGGGATGAAAGGGATGTGTCCCAGCATTTTAATCCCATCCCTGCTCTCTCTCTCTCCCCATGGATGGCAAAGGGCCCCTTTCATCCCATCGTGGTGAACTGCCCCACCAGCCCGGGTTGGTGGTGGCCTTTCGTCTTTCCCTGGAAGTTTTGAAGGTTTATCTGCAGTTCCCTTGTTCCCTGACTCACCTCTGGATGTTTGGGGAGAGCAAAGAGCATCTCCTTGCCAGAGTCATCCCGAAAAAAATCCTGAAATCCAGCCAGGAGAGAGAAATAGGAGCCCCCTGAGTGCTCCCCTGGGTTGGTGGTGACCCTGCAGGGCTGGAGCTCAGTTCTGGTGGCACAGGGGATAATACCTGGATATCCAGGATCCCTGAATCCCTGTTTTTTCCACCTCCACCCAAACAAACCCACGTGAGCATAAAACATCGCCCAGTTTCCCAGCTGGAATCCCAAACCAGGGATCCACCAGGTGAGGATGTGACCAAAGAGGCACAGCCACAGTTGGCAGAGCTGACTTGTTTTCTGTCCCTGTTTTTAGCCAAATTTCTTTGCTTTTGAGTTACATGAACTCAGGAATTCTTGCTGGGAAGGATCTGCAGAGTCCCAAGCCAGGAGGAGCTGGAGGAGAGAGCTTTGTTTGTGAACTTCTGCTCTCCTGATCCCCCAAAGTGTTTCCTGCTGGTGACCAGTGATGGGACCCGAGGGATGACATGGAGCTGTGCCAGGGCAGGGGCAGGTTGGATCTCAGGAAAAGGGTCTTTTCCAGAGGGTGGTTGGCACTGCCCAGGCTCCCCAGGGCAGTGGGCACGGCCCCAAGGCTGCCAGAGCTCCAGGAGGGTTTGGATGATCCCCTCAGGCACAGGGTGGGATTGTTGGGGTGTCCTATCCAGGGCTTGGACTGGATGACCCTTGTGGGTCCTTCCAGCTCAGGATATCCTGGCATTCCCCAGCCTGTTCTCTCCGTGCCGGGACAGGTATAAATGAAACACTTCCCACTTGTGTTCTCTGAATGCAGGGAAGGCAAATTCCCCCTGGGTGAACTCCAAATAAAGAAAACTCTGATTTTAGAGTTGACTCTTGTATTTGCCTCTAGTGATTAGTGTGTATTCCTTTAATATTGAAATCAGATTGCTATATAAAGCAGAACACACGGGAATATCTCTCTGTAATAATGAGGAGAGTGATCTGATTTCTGAATGTAACAGTTTCATTTCCTTTCCTTTTTTTTTATTACCACGTTTCCTGCTGTTCTTCGCCTGGAATGTCAATCCTTCACCTTCATGCCTGGCTTTATTTAGGCTTGCTGCTTTTCCTGTACTAGGAAAATATACATATATATATATTTATACATTGGCTCATCACTTATGCAGTTTAGAGTGTGCCTTGGAGCAAAGCCTGAATCCAGCAAGGGTGGATCCCTCACTGGAGATGACACAGGATGTCACAGCTCAGAGTGGGATTTTATATTTCTAGTATTTATATTTCTATTATTTATATTTCTATTATTTATATTTCTAGTATTTATATTTCTAGTATTTATATTTCTAGTATTTATATTTCTAGTATTTATATTTCTAGTATTTGTATTTCTAGTATTTGTATTTCTAGTATTTATATTTCTAGTATTTATATTTCCAGTATTTATATCCCTGTCCTGCAATGAATTGCCCCTGCCCTGCCCCTCCACGTTGAGCGTTGCTGGGGCTCCTCTTTTATCAAGGGCAAATATTTCATGGAAAGGTAAAACAAAAGAGAAGGAAATTTAATCCCTTTCTCCTCTCTGAGAGCAGCAGCATCTTCCCATCAGCCTGGGCTGGTTTGGTCCATGGAATTTACATGGAAATTATGGAAATTCCCTTGGAGCTGCAGGTTCCATGGGGTACAGGGAAAAATCCTCAGTGCCGGATTGTTCAGCTTTTCCACTGGCAAAGAGATGTTGTTCCAACTGAGATGATTCCCAGTCCAGCTCCTCAAGCTCTCCAGGTTGTTCCCAGTTGGCAGCCAAGTCCCAAGGAGTTCATGGAGGGGGGGGATTATCAGGGCTGGTTTTCAGTGAGCAGGATCTGACTCGAAGAGAACAACAAACTTTTCATGCCAAAGAAGAAGTTTTTTACTAATTCCTTCCTTCCAGGGCTTAAAATCCCCTGTGCTGGCACCCATCCCATGTATTCCATGTTACTTCCCAAGTGTGGCTGCAGTGATTCCACACATCCATCCCAATCTGGTTGCCCAGAGAAGCTGTGGCTGCTCCTGGATCCCTGGAAGTGCCCGAGGCCAGTTTGGAGCAACCTGGGCTGGTGGAAGGTGTCCCTGCCCAGGGCAGGGGTGGCACTGGACGGGCTTTGAGACTCCTTCTAACCCAAACCATTCTGGGATTTCCTGGTTATAACTCTCCCTGTTTCTCACTTTTTTCTCTCTCCCCTTTCCTTGCTGGAACGACTTGTCAGAGCTGTGCCAAGAAATCAGGGAGTGCCAGGAAACAGGGAATGGCTTCCCACTGGCAAATGGGGGATCTGGGGGGGATAATGGGAAAGAATTGCTGGCTGGGAGGGTAGGGAGGGGCTAGGATGGAATTCCCAGAGAAGTTGTGTCTGTCCCTGGATCCCTGGAAGTGTCCAAGGCCAGGTTGGGGCAACCTGGACTGGTAGAAGGTGTCCCTGCCCATGGCAGAGATGGAATGGGATGATCTTTAAGATCCCTTCCAACACAAACCAGTCTGGGATTCCATGATTTCTTCACATCCTTTACATCTTCTCTATTAAATCCAGACAGACTTTCCACAGGATTTCAAGTCCCAGAATTACTGGTGAAGGAATTCCTGGTTGGACAATCCTCAGAGTCACAGCTTTCCAGCCCTGGGATGGGTCAACGCCCATTAAATGGGTATTCCCATTAATGGGAATCCATCAGGGCTGGAGCCCCTCTGCTCTGGAGCCAGGCTGGGAGAGCTGGGGGGGTTCCCCTGGAGAAGAGAAGGCTCCAGGGAGAGCTGAGAGCCCCTGGCAGGGCCTAAAGGGGCTCCAGGAGAGCTGGAGAGGGACTGGGGACAAGGCATGGAGGGACAGGACGCAGGGAATGGCTTCCCACTGCCAGAGGGCAGGGAGAGATGGGAGATTGGGAAGGAATTGCTGGCTGGGAGGGTGGGGAGGCCCTGGCCCAGGTTGCCCAGAGCAGCTGTGGCTGCCCCTGGATCCCTGGAAGTGTCCAAGGCCAGCTTGGACCAAGCTGGTCTAATGGAAGGTGTCCCTGCCCGTGGCAGGGGGGTGGAACGAGACAATCCTTAAGATCCCATCCCAACCTGTGTGTGATTCCCTGCTCCCTCTTGCTTTGCAGCCCCGCCTTCCATCAAGCTCCTGGTGGACGACCCCATCGTGGTGAACCCTGGCGAGGCCATCACCCTGGTGTGCGTGACCACGGGGGGGGAGCCGGGGCCCAGCCTCACCTGGGTCAGGAGTTCGGGGGCGCTGCCCGACAAGACGGTGCTCAACGGGGGCACCCTGACCATCCCCGCCATCGGCGCCGACGACGCCGGCACCTACAGCTGCATCGCCAACAACAACGTCGGCAACCCCGCCAAGAAGTCCACCAACATCATCGTCAGAGGTGAGTGGGGCTGGAAAACCACCTCAGGAGGGTGTTGGAAACATCACCTGGCAGAGCGGTCGTCACCCAGTGGTGTCTTGTGGTCACGGTTGGATTGATAATCTTGAAGGTCTCCTCCAACCTGGAGGGTTCTGTGGTTTCTGCTCATTTCTGGGATGAGTTAGTGTTGCTTCAAAGTGCTGGAGGTGGAACAAGAGTGGTTTGGTGTCTCTTTGTGTTGGGAAGATGGAGAAGCTTTTCCATGGAAATTGTTTTGTTGAGGTTGGAGAAAGGAGGTGAGTGGAGCTGGAAAACCACCTGCCTGCATCTTGGGAGGGTGTTAAAAACCTCATGTGGCTCAGTGGTTTCCACTTAGTGAGGTCCTGCATTTCCAGGTGGTCCTGGTTGGATTGATGATCCTGAAGGTCTCTTCCAACCTGGAGGGTTCAGTGGTTTCTGCTCATTTCTGGGATGAGTTAGAGTTGCTTCAAGGACCAGTGGCTCTTGTGCTGGGATCAAAGCCCTGAGGTGGAACAAGGGTGGTTTGGGGCCTCTTTGTGTTGGGAAGATGGAGCAGCTTTTCCATTGAAGGTGGAGAGAAATTGGTTTATTGAGCCTGGGAAAAAGAGGTGAGTGGAGCTGGAAAACCACCCACCTTCCTCCTGGAAGGGTGTTAGAAACCTCATGTGGCACAGTGGTTTTCACCCAGGGGTGTCTTGTGGTCGTGGTTGGATTGATGATCTTGAAGGTCTCTTCCACCCTGGAGGATTCTGTGGTTTCTGCTCATTTCTGGGATGAGTTAGAGTTGCTTCAAGGCTCTTGTGCTGGGATCAAAGCCCTGAGGTGGAACAAGGGTGGTTTGGGGCCTCTTTGTGTTGGGAAGATGGAGCAGCCTTTCCATCCATCCAAAGTGGACTTGATGATCTTGAAAGTCTCTTCCAGCCTTGAGGGTTCTGTGGTTTCTGCTCATTTCTGGCACTTTAGACTAGTCCCTGTGCTTTAATTATTCTAAATAACAGGACAAACGTCTGTCTGGGGTAAAAGGAAAAGAAAAGAGGCTGCAGAACAACTGCTGCCAGACAGAGGGAAAGTCTCCCTGGTGGTTTATCCCCTTCTGGATAATCCAGGGATGTGGGCAGTTGGTTTGGAGGTGGAGTTTGATTGGCATCATCAGACAGGATCAATCTCCCTGAACCAAACATTTCATCTGAAGCTAATTTTCTTTAATTTACTCTGTAGATTAAAGAAATGAAGCTCAGCTCTTTTTTACCCCCAATTCTTTCCTTCCTGCTGTGATTCCCCCTCATTATTTCTGTTAAAGGCAAAGAACTGCCTTTGGAGGAGGAAAATCTTTATTCCAGTGTTGGTGGATTGATCCTTCCTAAAATTGATGCTGAGTTTAGGAGTGAAATATGAGACATAGCAGAGTTTTGGGTTGGGTTTGTGTCTATATTTCTTGACATTTTGCCTGGGGCTCCTTCCTTCTCTCCAGTCCAGCTCTTTTTTGTCGTTGTGGATCAGGATTTTCACACAGCAGCTGAGGAGAAAAGAGAATTTGCTGGAAATAGGATCTGAACCAGGCAGGAGAATCGTTTGGGAAATGGAGTTCACAGCTTCTGGCAGGTGGAATTTGAACCTCAGGATTAGCCAATAATCCCCTAATCTGACCCAGAAAGGAAATTTCAGTTGTCTCAAAGCATCATCAGGGCTCAGATGAACTTTTTTCCCTTCAAAATTCCCTCCATTTCCCAGTGCCTTTATCTGAATGTGCTTTTATTCCATGTGCTTCATTCCGTGGGTGCTGAAGCTTCTCCATGATTTTTTTTTTCCCCTGGGTATTTTCACTTTCTTTTTGTGGCTGATGACCCACCACACCTGACTTCAAACCAGGAAAGGTGGGGAGGCACTTTGGACAAGGGATGGAGGGACAGGACACAGGGAATGGCTTCCCACTGCCAGAGGGCAGGGAGAGATGGGATAGTGGGAAGGAATTGCTGGCTGGGAGGGTGGGGAGGGACTGGAATAGAATTCCCAGAGAAGCTGTGGCTGCCCCTGGGTCCCTGGAAGTGTCCAAGGCCAGGTTGGAGCAACCTGGGCTAGTGGAAGGTGTCCCTGCCCATGGCAGGGGATGGGATGGGATGGGATGATCCCTAAAATTCCTTCCAACCCAAACCATTGTGGGATTCTCTGATGCTTGGATGGCTCCTCCATCCAGGAGGAGAACACAAATTCTGGAGAGCATCTGTGAGGGTTCCTGCACATCAGGTTGGGAAGCAGAGCCAGGGAGATGTTTGACAGATCTTTAAAGCCCTTGGATTTAGAAATCATGGAATCATTTAGGCTGGAAAAGCCCCCTCAGACCATCGAGTCCAACCATCCTCCAGCACTGCCAAGGCCACCACTGCCCCATGTCCCCAAGTGCCACATCCCCAAGGATTTAAATCCCTCCAATTTCTGTGATATTGGTAGAAGAAGCTTTTTTTCCCATCCTGGTTTTCCTCTCTCTGTCCTGGGAAGGGCTCCCAACAAGTAGAGCCGGATGAATTTAGGGATATGCTTCAGTGCTGGGTTTATGGTTGGACTTGATGATCTCAGAGGGCTTTTCCAACCTAAACAATTCCTAATTCCTGGGAAACCTGTCCCATTTTTGCCTCCTCAGCACCTTCTCCCATCCCTCCTTTAACCAGATCCCTCGGAACTGCAGCACATTTTTGGGGCCATTTGACTCTCCCTGGGTAACTTTTCCCTTCTGGGAAGAGGAAATGTCCTCTCTGGAGTTTATTTTTCCAAGGGGTAGGAGATGGAATTCCAAGGATTCCCTGTCAGTTTAAACATAAAATCCTGCCCCGTGCTCAGCATTGGCACAAAAGCTTTGGCTGAACAAACAGCATTCCCGGGAAATTCGGTTCGAGGCCGGGATTTCTAGAAGGACCTGTGGAATTATGGCCTTAAAAACTGGGTGTGAACTGCTAAAAAAAGGAGGTTAAGGGGGAAAAAATAGAAGAAAGAAGGCTCAGATTGGGAAATAAATGAACTTTTGGTTGCTTTTGTAGTAGATTTTTAAAAAATAACAATCCTGTAATACAGTTCTCACAAACCTGCTTGAACTTCTGGGTTCTTCCATGGATTTCTTTATCCCAGAGCTGGGTTTTTTTTGGAATTTCTGTGGTGGTTTAGGGCAGTTTAAGGAAGTAATGGGTGGAATTAGGTCTGTTTGGGGGGTTCTGGCTCCAGCATTCCAAGGCTAAAATGTCAGGGTTTCCAGGGATTCTGGCACCAGCATTCCAAGGCTAAACTGTTGGGGTTTCCAGGGATTCTGGCTCCAGCATTCCAAGGCTAAAATGTCAGGGTTTCCAGGGATTCTGGCACCAGCATTCCAAGGCTAAAATATCAGGCTTTCCAGGGATTCTGGCACCAGCATTCCAAGTGAAAATATTGGTATTTCCAGGGATTCCGGCTCCTGCATTCCAAGGCTAAAATGTTGGGGTTTCCAGGGATTCTGGCTCCAGTATTCCAAGGCTAAAATGTTGGGTTTTCCAGGGATTCTGGCTCCAGCATTCCAAGGCTAAAATGTCAGAGTTTCCAGGGACTGTGGCTCCAGCATTCCAAGGCTAAAATATTGGGGTTTCCAGGGATTCTGGCTCCAGCATTCCAAGGCTAAAATATTGGGGTTTCCAGGGATTCTGGCTCCAGCATTCCAAGGCTAAAATGTCAGGGTTTCCAGGGATTCTGGCTCCAGCATTCCAAGTGAAAATATTGGTATTTCCAGGGATTCTGGCTCCAGTATTCCAAGGTTAAAATGTTGGAGTTTTTTTGTTTTGTTTGGCCTTTTTTTCCCATCCTGCTTTTCCTCTCTGTGTCCTGGGAAGGGCTCCCAGCAAGTTGATCTGGATGAATTTAGGGACATTGTTCAGTGCTGGGATTATGGTTGGACTTGATGATCTCAGAGGGCTTTTCCTACCTAAACAATTCCCTGATTCTGTTTTTTTCCAGGACTTGGAACATATCCACACATCTCTCCTATGGAGAGATGCCCTCTGGGATGGGATTTCAATGGGATTTTAGCCAGGCACACCCATCCTACAGCACATCCACTGTCATAAATTCCCAGGGTGCTCCCCTAAAACTTTACAGCTCTGGGAATGATTGTGGGGAAAAGTTGAGCTTCAGAGTTGAGTGAGTCCATTTATTTTTATAATCTCAGGTCTGGGTGTTCTCCCAGGCTGGAAGGTCATGGGTGAGCTCATAAAAGGCTTTCAGAGAGAAATGGAGGTGGTTTATTGATCCTCCTGCCCTTTTGTTGGGACTTCCCAGAGTTTTCGTTGTCAGGAATTTTAGTTTTTAATAAGTTTGCTCTTCAAAACGTCCTGTGGTGGCTGTGGGGCACCGTGGGTCTGTGAGGGTGGATCAGAAGGGACTCCAGAGGTGGGATTTGTTCCATCTCTCCCCTAGAAGTGATATATTGTAAATCTCCATTCTTTGCCCACACAGTGCAAATGATGAAACTCAGCACACGGGACATGCCATTCTCCCCAAATCCAGAGCAAAACCCCCATTTTCCAAGGTTTCCACACTGGATCATCCCCATTCCTGCTTCTGGGGTGGCTCAAGAGCTTTATTGGAGTGTAGGATTTTGTCAGAGCCTGGATTTCTCCCAACGTGGGATGCATTTCCCTTCCACATGGAATGCATTTCCCTTCAACACCATTTTTCTCCCACGAATGCCTCAAAAACACGCCAGGATCCTACAAAGCATTCCCAAATGATTTGGGCAGAGGCCTTCCAATCCCAGACACAGTCACCTGACAGAACACAAGTGTCTTAAAACACATTTCGGGGTCAGCAAAGTATCTTGGCAGCATCAGAACAAACCAGTGTGCACTTGTCTTCCTCCTCTTCATTTCCTCTCCCTCTAAGACGTGACAAAACTTGGAAAAACTCATTTTTTTTTTCTACCAAAATGAGAATATTGTTAAAGCTGCCCAGACCTCACCATGTCTTAATCAGCCAAGTTCTGATAC